TGCCCTGGCACCCCAAGGGCCATGCGTGCATGTGTGAAATCACAGCCCCAGGTGCCCTGTAGGTGTTAACTCCTCCTCCCGTGCTCCCAGCACAGCCTCCCCACCCTGGTGCTGCTGAGCAACCCTATTCCCTGTGTGTGGGAGATCCAGCTCTCCTGATGGGGGCCCTCCTAGGTGGATGTGCCCAGCCCGGGGGACTCCTTGAATTGCTTTCCTGAGCACCACCCTCTTGCTCTTCACAACCACCCAAGCATGGCGTCTGCTCAGCTCAACAAGGCCCAGCCAGCCAGCTCTGCAGGCGGTGTCCACCAGCCCTTCTCCACAGTTCTCTGGGTCAGCGGCTTGCAAAGCCACAGCACTCGTGGGGCTTGGCCCTCTCCATGCCTTTGTGCTTCCGGTTTAGGGTGAGGTCTAAGGCGAGGCCTACTGCAGCTCGCCCAGCCCCAGCAGAGATGAACACTGCCTTGCCTGGCCCTGCTGTCTCTCAAGGCTCGGGACAATCCATCAAGAATGGTGCCTGTCTTACTGACCCGATGAGCTCCTGCACTTTTCTGTCTTCCAGTATTTTGCTGAAGGGCTTTACCAGAGAGGCACCGATGAGGATGGATTCTGCCGGTTCCTCCCTGGGGATATCAGGCAGGCAGTGAAGCGGACAGCTCGGAAGGTGAGGAGCTGGCAGCAGGCAAGGGCTGTGCTGCGGTGACAGGTCCCCCTCATGGCCTTCCCTAGCCAGTCCCAGGAGGCCAAGAGTGCAGCTTGCACTAGAACCCCAGGTGCTCCCGCATAGCTGTCTTGGGAAGAAGGTAGCCAGCTCCCTAGGGCTGCTGAGAGAGGAGGGAGAGCCTGGCTGCAGGTCATTCCCTACTGCCACTCCTGGCTCCCCATCACAAGCTCAGGATCACCTGATTGGTTTCTTTACCTGGTGAAATGCTGTTGTCCGAGAAGACCATGGGCAGAGTGTTCTGGGGACGAGCTGGAAAGGAGAGGGTTCTTTAACAGAAGGCTTCTGTGTGAGCTGAGCCAGGCCCAGAGATCCCTGTGCCCTTCCCTGAAGGGTAGGGCTGAGCTCAAGGTCCCTGACCATGTCACTGATGGGGAGCGGGGGGGCTGCTGTGCTCTTTGCAGACCTGCTGTGTCTGTGGAAAGATGGGGGCCACTGTTGCGTGCCGGCAGAAGCGGTGCGCCCGCAAGTTCCACTTCCCCTGCGGGTCCGAACGGGGCTGCATCTCGCAGTTCTTTGGGGAGTACAGGTAAGGGCTGCCGTTGCTCGGGCTGGAGCCTGCCGTGCCTAAATTCCCGTCCTGCTGCCAGCACTGGCCAAGCCCTGTCAGAACCGGTGGGCTCTGTCTTGGTCTCAGCCCCCTGGGGGGATTCAGGCTGACAAATTCAGCTTGCCCTGAATGCCTAAGGGCTGACAGCTGGCAAAGACCGGGCTCTGTCAGGGCCTCCACCCTGCAGGCAAAGCCCCCAGCTTGGCATGAGTGCCCCAGGGCCTCTCAAGGCAGGGTGGAGCCCAGGCCTCAGCCAGCACACGCCGAGCCCTTTTGGGTGGGGAGCATGCTGGGAGGAAAGGGACGGGAAAAGGGACTTTTGCTCAGTGCCCTGCGGAGGGGAAAAGGGACTTTACAGCCAAGGTGAGCCTCATCCAGAGACACGGAAGGACTCTCGCAGTTCCTCCACGCTCACCTCTTCCGCCTTCACCCAGGTCGTTTTGCTGGGAGCATCGCCCAGAGCAGAGAGTGGAGACGCACCAGGATGGGGACACCACGTGCATCATCTGCATGGAGCCCGTGGAGGACAGGACCTCCTACAGCACCATGGTGTGCCCCGTCTGCAAGCACGCCTGGTTCCACCGTGGCTGCATCCAGGTAGGAGAGCCTTTCCTCTCCAACTGCCTAAGGACCGGAGGTGCCCAGCAGCAGGGTCCCGCTCACACTGGCAGCCTCTCTCTTGCAGGAACATGCTCTCCATTCTGCTCTGAAGCACTTTGCCTGTCCCTTGTGCAAGGACCGGGAGAAGTTTCTGCCCGAAATGTGGCACATGGGTATCCGAATACCTGACAGGTTGGTTCCCTTCTTCCCTCCTGCTACGCAGACAGATGAGGGTGGCCAGGGAGCTGTGTCCAGCCATCCCACAGTCCCTCCAGTGAGGCTGGAGGAGAGGAGCTACCTGGAGGAGAGGAAGCTACAGCTCTGCCTGCAGTCCCTTTCCCAAGCCCAGACTTGGCTCTTTGAGTGAGAAGAGAGGTCTTGGTGGTTAGGAGCTATGGAGAGACATGTTCTTCCCAGAACAATTCTTTTTTCTTTTTTCTCCATTGTTTTTTGAGCTGAGTTCAGCTTGTTGTTCTCAAAGCTCTCCTGGGACAAGGAAAGCTCCTGATGGCAGGCAGCTGAGAGCAGACGTCAGTGTCCTCATTCCCATTTTGCAGAGGGGGCATGTCAGGCCCGGAGAGAGCCCCGCAAGGCCAGGGTGGGACTCCCAAAGTGGCCTGGCCCCCAAGTGTCCTGCTAGCCTGGTTCCCTGCTTCACTGAGGTGATGAAAAGAAAGGGGCTCCAGAAGACCAGGGGCCTGCACGAGCTGAGTGATGCTAGGGGTGAGGGAGGCTCATGTCCTTTCCTTCCTTCTCCCACAGAAGAGCGGCTTGGGAGGAGGAGGAGGAGACCTTTGAAGAGCTATATGAAACATATAGCCACTGTGATGCTAGGCAGTGCCTTTACCAGGGAGGCAGGGAGCAGTCAGAAGAGGAGGGGTAAGTCTCTGCAGGAGCAGTTTCCCAGCCTCCTCAGAGGAGGCGGATGCCGTAGCAGTGGTTTGGCCAGATGTCTGAAGGGCTTGCAAGGAGGTGGAGGGCCCCCAGCATCCTGGGTCCTGCCCAGGTTCATTTGTCTCAGCCAGGACTTGGGGAGCAAGGACTCTTGGCAGCCAGGCCAGAGAGCCCTGTTGGGCACTGCCTCTCTCCAGCCACGCTGTCCTT